TGGTTCTCCTCAGAGAGCCAAGATGGCCAAAAAGAGGATAGCCACGTCTCTGGCTGAAACCTCTCGACAGGTTTCAACTATTGAAAGTAGCCTTAACCCCGAGGCACTTTTAGCTAACTCTCTTAGCTCTTCAGTGATTCCTCCCATCACTGTTGTATCAATGACATCTACCCCAACCGCCTCAGTGACCCAAATCACTGAAGGTGTGGATATCAGCGCCGCCATCGCTGAACACCCACGTCTCTTCTCAACCATTTTCTCTTCTCCTCCTTCCTTGGTCTTCACACATGTTGATGACGTATCAGTGACCATCCTCCCTGATACTGAAACACACACCACTGGACCTGAAGTTGCTCCTCTCGATGCTCCTCGGCATACAGATGTCCATCCTCTCGAGGATATCTTTTCTCACTCTAGTGACAATCCTTTGGATGTCATTGATGGCCCCTCAGGTATTCCATCCTTCTACCCTTTCATTTCTACTAACCCTAAGCTTCTTGTTGCTCACCCTTCCTCTATTGTAGGTCCTTCTTCTATGCCTTAGCCTGATGGTGAAGAAGAGGAGAAAGAGGACGAGGAAGAGAAGAAAGAAGAAGGGGAAGATGACGTTATCGACGATGACAAGGATTATGACATGGCTTCAGATGTCAAACTCCTTCTCCCAGCCATTGATTCCGTTTACTGCAAGATGGCTGAAGTTCGCCAAGAGATGCCCCGCAAGGCTAAACTTGAAGCGGACCTCTTAGCTCTCAAAGCAGACGTTCAAGAAGTACAGAGTCATCTCTTGACTCTCCAGGAAGCTGTTCGAGCCAACACTAAAGCCATTGCTGTTCTCTCCAGCAGGGCTGATGATGCACAGGCTCTCTCCCTTCAGCAGACGGAACTTCTTCAGCAGATCCAATGATCCTGCCGTCCTTCTCTGCTAATGATCATGCTCAGCTCTATGAGATGCGTGAGGCAATGACAACTCTAGCCTCTACTCTGTCAAGGCTAGAGGAGATGATGGTTCTCCAGCATCAGCGCGTGGATGAACTTTCTGGTTTATACTCTCAAGTCTTAGCCAGAGGGGGAGAGATGAGGTCCAACACTGCTGGACCATCTGATGTTGTTGCTGCTTCTGCTGCTGCTCCAACAATCTCTTCAGCTGAAGCTGAAGCTCCTAGAGCTGAGGCTATTGTTGTTCCTGTAATCCTGACCATCAAAGTTGTTTCAGTTGAGGCGGTCGATGCCATCCTAAGAGATGATGATCTTCCCATCACCTCTGCTGCTAGTGATGATGATGATGATGATGATGATGATGACGAAGATGATGATGATGAAAATGATGAACCTGTTATCCCAGACCCTGGAAGTGATCTAGATGGTGATGATGATGACGATGATGAAGATGACTTTACCATCAAGTATCAAAAGCCATCAACCGCCACCAAGGGAGTCACCCTCAGGGAATCTGCATCCCAGGGGGAGCAAAGGGAAGGAGAGTTTGCACCATCAAAGAACCAGGACCACAAGTCGAAAGGCAAAGCGGTCGCTGAAGAAGGGAATCTAAAGGTACTTTTCAATATCCCTCAACTCTTATTTTGAAAACTCTACCTCTCAGGTAGTAGTCACCTCACTCTATCAACTTCAAGTTCCATTAACTACCTGCGGTCGATTGGAGTGGGTCCCCGAAAACCCTGTCTCCAGTGCTCCCATTGACCAACAGATGGCTCAGCTAAAGGAGTCACTCGACCAGACTAGAGTAAAAATCCCTCTTCATACCTCTAGTGATGGTGAGTTTGACTTCCTTTCAGAAGCTGAAAGACTCGAGGCATTAAGGGCTGAAGAAGAGCTAGAGCTTCAGAGGAAGCAGACTGAAGACAACATAAAGCTGGCTGTTAGCTCTCATTTCACTTAATGTAAAAGTATGGAAAAAGTAAATTCTGCAAGTGTTGACAGAAGAGGTTCAACCACAGAAGACCACAGAGGACCAACAACAGAAGGTGTTCTATTGTACAAGTGAAGTGTGACAGAACCTCTGTTGTCTACCACAGAGGCTCTAGAAACTGGTCCTCTGTAATCAAAGCTTACAAGTCAAAGATGACAGAACCTCTGTTGTCTATCACAGAGGTTCTGGAAGATGATCCTCTGAAATCAAATGCTCTCAAGTCACATCCAGCAGAGCCTCTGGGATGGCTCACAGAGGGTCTTCAATTTTATCTTCTGTGAAGAATTTCTTTACTGTTTTACTTAGGTTAGTTAGCAGCTCATGCTTATCACGTGACTGTTTGTAATCTGCTTTATTTGAACGGCTTAGATTAATTTGTACGTCTAGGTCTTGTCAGAAAAGTCGTTAGGAACGAGTATAAATAGCAGCTTAGGCCTTTGTAATTCAGTGTGCTTCTATATCGTATTGTAAACATTTTCAATCAATTGAAAATCATTTGAAGCTTCTCTCTCGTGTTCTTCATTCATCAACTATGTTCTTCATTGATTATTATTCTGATTGTTCTTATTGCTTTCGCTGCACTAATACTGTCAAATAGATCATCCAGAGTAAGTGATTAATATCCAAAACTAAGTTAATCGATCCTAACAATTGGTATCAAAGCAGGAATCAAATTCTAATTTGATTTATTCAGTTCTTGGTATTAATCTTCATTCGCTCAAGAACAATAGTCGTCTTCTTCAGGTGACCCTGTTTTTCACTATTTCATCTGTTCTCTTCTTATTCCTATTTTTCTTCTTCTTCCAATGGCGAATCCAACCATACTTCCTTTATGAGCACTGGTTCACAATCAAAACCTCCCACGCTCATACGTGAGGAGTACCCACAGTGGAAAGTTAGAATGGTAAATTTTCTGGAAGGCATTCATCCACGGATTTGTGAATTTCTGTACAATCCTCCCTATGTTCCCATGAATTTAATTACTAGAGTACCAGCAAATGGAACTACACCAGAAATTCCCGAGCACTATGAACCACGTCCTGGGGTGAACTGGAGTGATGAGGACAAGATCATGGTCGAGTTAGGGAGTAAATGTAAACGATTGTTGATTATGGCTATTCCTAATGAAATCTTCAAGTGCATTGATCATTGTCAACTGTCCATGGACATCTGGGCAGAACTGGAGAAGCAAATCGAAGGAGGAAGGAAAACAATTAAAAACGATCGATCAATCTGCATCGATGAGTATCGTAGCTTCAAGGCAAAAGACGGTGAGTCGCTATCGGACACATACTCGAGACTGAACACGTTAATCAGCAACTGCAAGAGGTATG